TACCTCTTGTGGTGGGTTAGGTTAAGTAACTGGCTCCTGTTCTGTCTCATCTCAAAAGCAAAAGCTTTGCATCCTTATCAGTATGACTATCTCAGGCAGAGGAAGCTGTAGTTTCTACCTCTTTGCAGGAAATTCACCTCTTACCCAAAGTGTACAGTTGTGAAGATTTCCTCCTATTTATTATAATCTTATATACTATATGTAAGTCTAAGAATGTACCATTAGTGAATAGAAAAACAAAATGTAATAGAACCTGTGACTTTGTAGGCATGTTTTTCAGGAATGTGCTTATGGTATTTTCCTACTGGAAGGTTATTTGTAAGCTGCAATCAAGAGATTGGTACTGTCAAACAGTCAGAATTACATGGGACATCCTTCATCCTTTCCCCACCTACCTCTCTCCAGGTCTCTTCCACGTGTCTTATCCCCACATCTTCCTGCTCCTACCACTTTAGATCAGTGTCTGTCTTTTCTAAAATATCAGATTGCTTCTTATTTTGAGATATCTAGGGAGAAGTAAAAGTAAACCAAAACATAGCCAACAATGCCAACTAAAAATGATATTTTAATATTACTATCTCAGTAATGTCAAAATAAAGATTGACGCATGGGCTTTCCCTAAACTACAACCTACCTACCTCAAGTATTGCATTTTACTAACATTTTCTCTTTATAAATAAAATCTCTGTCAGGCTAACTAAAAGTTCCCATTGAATGTTACAAAATATAAAACTTTTTGAGTGCTGACATGATGGCATAATTCAGATGATTCAGTGTCCACTGACTTTGCTTCATGAAAATTAGGAATAGTCTGTAAAATTACCTTTTTGTTATGTGTTATAAAGTATATGTGAGACCTTAAAGATTTTATGTTTAGATTTGGTTCCTCTTATATATTAGCACATAGTCTAAAACTGCACAAAATATGTGAATATACAGTAGTCGTTGGAAAAATAAGAGCTCTAAAATGCTTTTGGTCTCAAACATTTTTATTTATGAGAGATATTCAACTTATTGTCACAATAGACTGATAGATTTTGATAAGGCACAGATCATCCTAAAATTATTTTATAGGTTAGATGCTTGTCTATTGGCTCTTAGGAAATGGGGCATTGTTCAGGTCTCATGACACTCAGGCTCAGAACAATGATGCCTTCCATAGTATCTAGCTGTTAACTCAAACCTCCTAAGTCAGCTTGTGCTTTCTTGTTCACCATGGCAAGTACAAAGAGCCAGAGATTTCCATGATCTTTTTTATCACCTGATTTCAGAAACACATATCTCCACCTGCCACCCATCCAAACAAATACTGCTTTTTTTTTATGGACCCTGTATTCTACATTCTAAAATTTAATTTAATATAGATTTTTTTTACATCTTCCTTATTTGCAACTATTATTTTATGATAAATAATCCTCACATAGTTTTAAAAAGCACAATACATATAGCAATGGTTTATTGGGTAAATCTAAAAACATATAACAGCCCAATGGCTTCTTGTTCAGGAGCCCATGTTTCATAATTGTGTACAAATACTGATAACATAAATCCTTTAGATTTGCCACACTCTTAAATGTAAAACCAAACCTTTGCTGTCTGTACAGGCAGATTTTGAACTCTTGAAGAACATTGAGTATAGAGAAAGTTGTTTATATAGTTGAAAGTTCTAGCCATGAGAACTACAAGCTTTCCCTAAGAAGGCAAACTCTGAAGGAGTGTAAATGGCATACTTTTGATATACTACTGAAGAGCACTAACTAGTACTAAAGGCAAGGAGAATGGATATGGCGTTTTATTTACAGAAAATCTTTAACCTCCTGTGTTAATAAGCTGAAGTTTATCTTAAATCCAACATTTTTGTTGTTTTCACTAAACAATTCTATTATCTTGAATTAGCACCTGAAGAAAAACAAGATGGTGGGGAGTGTTAAATGCAATGTATCTTTTTAAGCCCTTTGAATGCTTGAATCTCTTTAGACTATATATTAAGGAATACCACCCACTTACTTCTTGAATACTACATACAAAGTCAGTTTATTTTCAGCTAATTTTTATTATTAGAAAATCATTTTTTATATTTATCCAAAATTGAAATCTTCATTTCTATAATTTTACACAATATTCATACTATTCTTCCTTTGAGCCTTAAAAATGCTTATGGTAGTTATCAGGCTATCCTTAATTTATATAAGACAGAATTTCCAACTGCCAAACCACATGATCACTCTCCTTTTAGAATCTTCCTGATTGTAGTGTACCTTTTAGCATGTTATACTGTAATATCCACAAGGATGGTTGAAACATAGCAGAATTGCTTAGTTACTGTAGAATTGTTTGAATGGTAGATTTGTTAGGGAAGTAACATTTCTTAGAAAAGGCAAATTGTAGCTATAATTTGAAAGTACAAGTAAGCTAAGGGGAAAAACATCAGGAACATTTAAATAAATGCTTAAATCTTGAGGAAATGGAAAATGACATTCTTTGTCTTGAACAAGCAGGTAATAAGATAGAGAATGCAAAACAATCTTGAATTAGCTAGAGTAGATTTAGGGATTTGATACTTTACAACTCTTGGTATGGTTTAGGTTCATAAGACTTTTTCAAAGCAGATTCTTGGTAAGATTACATGCTGTGGCAGGAAGAGGAAATCCTAGTGGGAAAATGTTCAAGGTTGACAGAACCTCTAAGAAGAGGCTGGTACACCCAGGAGCAGGTCTTTTCACTGGGTCAAGGAGGTGCAGACAAGTAAGAGAAGCAGGAAGATGCAAGATTTGACAGGAGGCATTTTAGTGAGCTGTAAAGCATAAAAACTCAACCTTACTTTATAGTAGAAAGTACAGTGATGCCAAATGATGCCAAGTGTCTCCTAAATAGTAAGATGTTAAATCTATATAACAGTCCTTTGAGTTAGACACTTATCTTCATTTATGGATGAGAAAACTGATCTGTAGAGAAACAATTTGCTGAATGTGGCCTAGCTAGTAAAATAACAGAGCTGACTTCTTCATAAAGAAAGGCAGACTCCAAAACCACCTCTCTTGTGTTGACTTTGCCAGTAATCCAGAACTTGAGAAGATAAGGTAGAAGGATCATGAGTTCAAGGGTACCTAGTGGGGTATCTAGTGAGATCTTGTCTCAAAAAAAAAAAAAAAATCAAATCTGTCTTCTTAAACACTGTACTGTGATGATATATTTCAATCTATATTCTTTCACCTCATAAATAACTAATCTGTGCCCTTCTCTTTTTTTTGCATGGTGCCACATTTCCTACTCCCCTCAAGGAGCCAATGCCTTCCTGGCCTTTTCTTCTTCCCTACTATTAAAACCTACTCTGTGGAAAGAAGCTAGTAAACTCATTCATTCATTCACACCAAGGTATACAACTTGCTACAAAGTAATACTCCTATAGGATTGAGGTTTTTTTTTTTTTTTTTTTTTTTTTTTTTTTTTTTTTTTTTTAGGGCAGCATGGTGGAAAATGTTAAGGGGCCATAAAATGTTAACCTAGACTTTGAGGAAATGTAGCTATAATTTATGTATATGTTGGTATGGGAGGTTGAGTAAGTTGGGTGAATTATTATCTATGCTCTTTTGATTATATATTTGTATAGCTGACCTATGGCTTTAGGATACTTGTTCTAGAAATTATGAGCACAAAAGTTGGACTAAAAGAATAAAAAGAAACATTTTCACTATGTATTCAAGTGTTTTAGGAAGTTTCTCTATATAAATTTCCTTAATTCATAATCTGGTAGAAGAGTTTTAGTATAAACCCAAGAAACAGACACCATTAGGTACCTTTGATTTTGCTTACAGTCATGAATGAAATGAAGTGGGATCATTCTTGTATCTACATTTGATCGAGGTTGTAGTGTTCCTTCGTTTCCTATAGACGTCATCACAGGTGATTTATCTTCTCTAGAAATCTTACAATAAAGTAATTTCAACTTAAGCTTATCCTTGATACCTCCTTCTTTCCTTACTCTTCATCAGTCAAATCCTGCCTTCTCACTTCCTTCTTTATAAGATTTCACATGTATTCCAGTTTGATTCAGTTCAGTAACCACAGAGTGCCAGGTCTTTGTTCTGTCTCAAATGTCTCATCTTCTAGGTGTTACTATAACATAACTATAGCATACAAGCATGTGAGTGTTTAAGTACAGGGACTTGCTCTGCTGGAGAAGGTGAAGGCAATGGTGTTTGCACAATTTCCACGTATGAAAAAGAGTTGTCAGAATAATGGCAAGGATCAAAATAGTCCAACCTGAGGGCAGAGAAAATACAGAGGTATGGAAGCACAGCGTGGCCTGGTATTTCTGAAATGTAAGAGAATTACATCAAGGAGAAGATCTGCTTTGCCAATTGTTAGGAATGTCATATGCCTAGAGAACCAACAAGTTTATGTTCATCTCTGTCATTATGTGATAACTAGCCTTTTGTATTGGAACCTTGCTTAGCACTTGGCCATATGCCACTCACTGAGACTCCAGCCATTGGATGTTTACACCTGAATGTCTATGTAGTTTGTGTCTTCAGTTTTCTATGGCAACTGTTACAGTCTTCTCTGAGAGTGACAGAAAAGAATGACAGTCTTCATTGAGAGCTCAATTGCTTCATCCTCAGTAGTGTGGTAGATCTAGAGCTAAGATAATAATGCAAAAATGCCTAGTACTTTGTTAGTCACAGTAAGTAATTCCACACCAGGTATTTGGTTCAGTCAGTAGGCTTTTCTGCTGCCTGTACAATAGTATGGTGTTGGGGAGACATCAAACAGTAAAAGAGAATTGGAAGGGAAATCCTGTTTTCATGTGTGAAAAGTTTATGTAAAATTACAACCATGCACTTTTTGGACTTAGTACTCTAGGCAAGATTTATTCAGTTTCTTCTGTTCATCATGTCATTGGAAAACTTACATGGAAAATGAGTGCATTGTTCTAAAAGGGGCATATTGTCAAAACAAAATTATTTTTATGATAATTTACTTGTCACTTCTTTTCTAAGGATGCTGGGCAGTTTTATGCAAAATACAAGGAGACAAAATTGAAGGAAAAAGAAGATGCCCTGGCTAGAATTGAAATTGAAACACTTCAAAGTGAGTTTTAAATATTGTTTACTTTATTGGCAATGTCCTATAAAACTAATCTAAATTTAAATTTTCCTTTAAATTTAACACTGGTTGAATTTTCTGTGTTTTCTTTGCCATTTTCCAATGAAGTCACTTGTATTTGCTATATTAACACGTGGTAAATACTGCTAATGGACCACACAAAGTCCAATATCAAGAGAGATGAATCAAACTGGGGTCCTACAACTCTTTAAATTGGGACTGACCATTTGAAATTTGTAAAGGACGATTATCTTTTGGTATTAAAATTATAATTAATATTTAATGCCACAGATAACTACCGTATGTTAATATAGTATTATAGCAGTGGGTAAACCTGAAAAAATTGTTTTTGTTTTGAAAGCCTTTGCTTCTTTTGTAATATTGTTGTATAATGCAAACAATCTTAAATAAATTATCAGAATATTGAAAAAAAGTCAGGCATGGGGACTTCTACCTGTAACCCCAGCACCTGGAAAGTTGAGACAGAAGGCATACTCATATTCCTTGAAGGCCATGGACTATATGTTGAGTACCCAGACAGCCAGAGCTACACAGTAAGATCCTACTCAAAAAAAAAAAAAAAATAGAAACAGGGCTGGAGAGATGGCTCAGGTTATGAGCACTGGCTGATCTGATAGAGGACTGAGAGTCATCTGTAACTTCCATTCCAGAGAGTCTGAGTCTGATAACCTGTTCTGGCATATACAGGTACCATGCATACAAGTGGTGCATGGCTATACTTGCAAGAAAAGTACCTATATGCATAAAATTAAATAAACAATTGTTTTAAAATTTTAAAAACAAAAAATAAAATACAGAAATATTCCATGGAACACAAAGACATTTCTTGACTTTGTTTTATATACATCTTTCCCATGTATACACTGACTGCACATACTAGTTATTTTATTCACAGTAGTTACTACCACTCAGCAGAATGTATTAATTTTATTTATATCTAGTTCCTTCCAGTAGATACAAACTCTACAAATGCTAGGACTTTATTTTGTTCACTGTTGTATCTTCTAGACATAGATATTTTTAGGGAACGTTTTTCTATCATAGTTGTTCTTGTGTCTGGGCAACTTTAGAAGAGGAACTGTTTCTTTTTCACTTTGTGTCTGCAATAGTGTACAGTGTCCTGGCACACAGTAAATGCTCAGAAAGTAAATGGTGAGTGGATGAATAGATGAATGTATGTAATTCTATGAATAGTAGTGAATGCCAGCCAAGCATCTCTCTATACAGTACCTTGTCTCAAGGAGCATGTAATTCAATTCTAAACCTTCTAACAACTATAAAATGATACTTAAGTCTGTATAATTATTTAAAGTGGATGCCTATAAAAAGAAGTGAGCCAATAGGGGATTGTGTATGAAGGTTACTGTGTGTTGGGCAGTAAAAGTAGTCAAATGAAACTCTAAATGTAATTTTCATAAATAAAGTTAACATTTTTAAGTCTTTTAAGTGAGTCAGAAGGAAAATGAACCTATAAGAAAATAGGGAAAATCTTAAAAGTAACCCCAAATTTATCTATTAAGGCAGTAGGAGTTCACTTCTTTCTTCTTAGTTCATCATTTTTATCTAATTTTTATAACAAATCAACTTATTGGTAAAAATCTTAAAGTATATATTAGAATTGTCTAATAATAACAAATTAAGAATATATATTGCCCTTATGAAAATTTGAGTTAAACACAAAATGTTTATCACAATGTGAAATCTACATTGGAGGTTTATAAACATTTTTCACTTGTTTAAAGACTTTTAAAATTCTGTTCAGTTAAAATTCTCAGGTTTAAACAAGGTGGACCCTAATAGAGACATACATGATCCCCTGGAGAAGGGGAAAGGGTCAAGATCCCCTGAGCAAATTGGGAGCATGGGAAGAGGGGGGAGGGAGCCAGGAGAATAAGAAGGGAGAAGAGGAGGAATGCAGAGGACATGAGGGAGAAGAAAGATTGAGTCAGGGAAGAATAAAAGATAACAAGAATGGAGATACCATAATAGAGGGAGACATTTTAGGTTTACAGAGAAATCAGGCACTAGGGAAATGTCTGGAGATCTACAAAGATGACACCAGCTAACAATCTAAGCAACAGAGGAGAGGCTACTTTAAATGCCCTCCCCTGATAATGAGATTGATGACTAACTTATATGCTACCCGAAAGCCCTCATACAGCAGCTGGTCGAGACACTAGAATCAGACACCCACAACTAATCACTGAACTGAACTAAAATCCAGATGCAGAAAAGGACGAGTAAAGAGCAAAGGAGTCCAGACCAGGCTGGTGAAACCCACAGAAACAGCTGACCTGAACTTTGGGGAATTCTTGCTTCCCAGACTGATAGCTGGGAAACCAGCCTGGGACTGATCCAGACCCCAGGAACATGGGTTTCAGTGAGGAAACCTCGGAAATCTACAGGACCTCCTGTTCAGTACTTATCCCTAGCACAGGTGTGGACTTTGGGTACCCATTCCTCATAAAGGAATACTCCCTGAGCCAAGACACACGAGAGTGGGCCTAGGCCCTATCCCAAAGGATACGATAGACTCTGATGACACCCTATGGAAGGCCTCACCATCCAGGGGGAGCAGAAAGGATATGTGATGGATAGGGTTTTAGTTGGGGGCGTGGTGGTAGGGGAGGACAGGAGGGACAAGGGAACTGGGATTATCATGTAAAACAATCTTGTTTCTAATTCAAATAAAAATTAACAAAAAAAGAGTAAAATTCTCAGGTTTAAAAATTCTATTTTTTATTTTGTTACTTAATAAAAGTCATGTAAAAAAATACAAAATTTTAAATAGACAAACATCTGGAATTTCTGTCTTCTTTGGTAAAGATAAACAGCCTTGTAAAACTCAACACACCATCACTAGCCCAGAGTTCATATGAGGCTTGTGTTATAAAACCATCTTGTGTTTTCATATTAGTAGTATATTGGAAAAGGTGAGAGTATCAGTGTTAAGAACAGTAAAGAGAAATTGCATTTACTGTTAGCAGAGTCAGAAACTGTTGTGTATTTTAAAATATAGTATAATGGTTACATACAAGGAATCTTTTTGTTGGTTTGGTTTGGTTTGGCTTGGTTTGGTTTGGTTTGGTCTGTGTTGCAGAGCCCTGGCTGTCCCGGATCTTTCTTTGTAGACTAGTTGGCCTCACACTCACAAATGTCTTCCTACCTGTGCACCCCCACCTCCAAGTACTGGTATTAAAGGTGTGCCACACCATATCCAACTGCAAGGAATCTTTAATTTTGTCAACTTCATTATAGTTTTTTATATTGTATAGTTTAGTAAAGGTTTCTAAGAAATAACAACCAAATGTGACAAAATAAAATATAAGATAAAGCAAAAACTTTTATATTAGAGTTGGACATGGCCACCCAATAGGAGGAAAAGAGTCCCAAGAACAGGCATGTGAGTCAGAGACCTACTCTTCTTGCAGTCGGGAGTCCCATAAACATACTAAGGTAATAGCTATAACATATGCACAGAAGACCTGGTGCAGACCTGAGTGGGCCCTGTGTTTGCTGCTTCAGTCTCTGTGAGCTCATAATGCACCTTACTTGGTTGATTCAGAGGGCCTCGTTCTCCTGGTGTCGTCCAACCCCTCTGGCTCTCATCTTCCTCAGATTCCATGAACTCTGAGGGGAGGAATTTGATGGGGAACTCACATTTATACTCTCTCCTCACGATATCTGGCTGTGGGTCTCTGTATTTGTTTCTTCCCATCTGCTGCCAGGGAAATCTTCTCTGATGATAGCAGATACCATTAGGAATTATTTTGTTTGTCAGGTTTTGTTGTTGTTGTTGTTGTTGTTTTCTGACCAGTTGTGTTTGTTTTTGCCCTGCGTCTAGTGGCTGTCTAGTCTCTGGTTCTTGGTTACCCAAGCATTGTCAGGTATGGGTTCCTTCTAGTGGAGTGAGCCTTAAATCAAATCAGACAATGGTTGGTTACTCCCAGAAGTTCTGTGCCACCATTGTCTTAGCAGATTTTGCAGACAGGACTTACAGTTAAAAGTTTGTGACTAGCTTGGTGTCCATGTTTCTCTTTCGGTAGCCTGAAAGTCTTGAGATAATTCTTAAATATTTTATTTTGAATAGTATGCATGTGTATTTGTCAGTGTGTGGGTGTGTGCATGTGACTACACATTACCTGCTATAGAGACCAGAGGTGTGGGATTGCCCTGGAGCTGTAGTTATAAGCAGTTTTGAACCACCACATTCTGGGAACCAAACTCAGGTTCTTTAGAAGAGCAATAGTTGGTTCTTAACTGCTGAGACATCTCCGTAGCCTTACAATCAAAATTTGATGAAAACTTCAGTAAGATTCGTACAAGTAGCATCAAGATACTGTATGTTTTTATATTAACTCATAACTTTCTTAATAAACCTTACAATGCTGCTAAAAAGAAAAATCTTAGGTTTTTTTTCTCTCTAGTGAGATATAATTGACGTAACTACCTCCAAAATTGTGCTAACTATGTAGTTTTTATTGAATCACAATTACTGGAGGGATACTGAGAGTACTTGGCAAATAGGAATCTTTGGGTCACTTAGACATGTTTCCTAGACCTTTAGTTTTGAAAATACTTGCTTTTTCATTTATAAGATTTTGCCAAGTGTAAAATGTTAAATGGTGCAAATTCATAAATTATTTTAAAAGCACAGAATTTAGTGAGTACTTATTTACCAAGCTATTGTTCATTAGTTATAGAACCCTGAATTTACAAATAGATTTATGTTGTACATCTTGTACATTATGTCTATGGTTTTCCCATAAAATATGTAAGCATACCTTCACATATATATTTTTGTTTTCACTGTAGTGTTGCTTTTCTTTCTGTATTGGTTTTCACTGCACTCTTTCTCCTTCCTCTCATCTCTACATGCCTTCATATAGTCATCCATATTATAGAATATCCAACCTTATAATCAGATATATATTACAGACTTGTATAAATGTAAAGATATATAAAAGCATGATTTTGCTTTAAAATATCGAATCATATGCTTTTCTGATCTTTCTTTTCCTACTTAAATTCATTGAAATACCCATGAAATTATAACTGTAGCTCTGCTTCAGTGATGATTTAGTATTTCTCCATGTAGATGACTCATCAATAATTATGTAGTTGTCTATTACAAGGCATTTACTGTTAACTGGTATCTCTATATATTTATATTTATATTTATATTATATTTATATTTAAATAGTTGAATACATACACACATACGCACATACATATGTATATGCCTGCCTGCCTGCAATTATGTTCAGATTCTTTTATGTTCAGAAAAGTTTTAAAATTTATATTGAATTTTAACAGATATTAGACTACTTTCCCACAATGTTATAATAGAATAATTCACATTCCTACTCTCCAAATTAGAAAGAGCTTGTCCCCTACCAGAAGTATATGCTATGCTATTAGATTTTTAATTTGTACCTTCATGATAGATTTTAAATCATATGTGGTATTACTTGAATTCTATTTCTTTAATTTGAAAAAAAAAAGGCTTCTTTTTTTTCCCCAACTTTTTTTTAAAAAAATTTATTTTGTATCCTGGCCTCAGTTTCCCCCTTCCTTCTCCTCTCCCAATTATCCCTCCCCCATCCTCCCTCTGTTCCCACCCCCAATCCACTCCTCCTCAGTTTCTGTTTAGGAAAGGACAGGTCTCCCATGAGTATCAACAAAACATGACACCAGACCAAGCACCTTCTCATGTATTAAGGCTGTAAAAGAGTCAGAGACAGCCCCTGTTCCCTCTGTTAGGAGTCCCACAAGAGGACCAAGCTATACAACCGTAACCTAGACTAACCAGTCTAGGTCAGTCTCTGTGAGCCCCTATGAGCCCAGTTTAGTTGATTCTGTGAGTTTTCTTATGTTCTCCTCGACCCCTCTGGCTCCTACAATCCTTCCTTCCCCTCTTCTACAGGATTTCCTGAACTCTGCCTAATGTTAGGCTATGGGTCTTCATCTATTTCCATCGGTTGCTGGATGATGCCTCTGCCTCTGATGACAATTGGACTAGGCACCAGTCTGGTCACAGGAGATGGCCAGTTCAGGCTACATATCCACAATTGCTGGAGTATAAGTCTTCCTTGTAGATTCCTGGGAGATTCCCTTGTGCCATGTTTTTACCTGACCCCAAAATGCCCCCCCTTCCAGTACTCTTCCCCCTGTGCTCCCCAACACAATCACTCATGTACCCATCCCCACCCGCCCTCAGTCCACTCATGAAATCCCTTCTATTTCTCCTTCCCAGGGAGATCTGGTGTCCCTGAGTATAGGTTTCTTTTCTTGTTTTGTGGCCTTGTGTGAATTTAATCTTTTGGATTGCCTAGTCATGACCTTTACTAACTTTTTTCTGTTGGTTTGCCCATCCTCTTATTTATAAAATTAATCACTTTCTATAATTTACTGTTTGTCCTCTGAGTTGCAGTTACTCTTTACACATTTGTTATCTCTTGGTGTTTATGCTGTCCTTAAGTTTATTGTGGAATTTGGGTTTGTGATTTAAGTTAAGATTTCCTCTTCCTTTATAAAGCACGTAATTTTTAAGTTAATTTTTATAAGATTTTTAGAATTCCATTTTTAAAAATCTCTTTTCCAGATGGAATTTATTTTTGTATATGGATAGAAGATTGTGTCTGGTTTTCTTTCAAATGAGTATTCAATTTTGTTGGCATCCATTGCTAAGTCATTTTCCCTCTGAAATGGAAAGGTATATGTCTGTTTTCTTGTAGAAATTTGATGATTTTTTCAGTGACATTATAATACTCCCATTCACACACAAATATCTGGTGGTAAAAATGTCATTGTGAGGCTAGAGGAGTTTGCTGTGAAGAAGGAGCAGCTTTTCAGTGTTGTCACTAATAAGAATGCTATCCATTGCATATCCAGTCATTGTTTGAAGACAGGTGTGGAACTTCTTCATTGTTGGAGTATCACAAGGGTATGCTGACAAAAATTGAGATAGCTATGATGTTACTTGTTGATCTCTGTAACCACCATAATATTTGCATTGTTTGAAAATCTTTTTTTCCTTTCTTTTTTTGAGCCAGGTCTCTGTGTAGCTCTGGTTGAACTCACTATGTAAACCAGGCTGGCCTTGAATTTACAGAGAGCTCTCTGCCTCTGCCTCTGCCTCTGCCTCTGCAACAATGGGTTTAAAAGTGTACACCACCATGAATAGCCTTGGAAATATTTTTATGCAACATTTGGTTGATGCTCCCAGATCAGATTTCTTTCTAAAATATTAAAATGTAAATTTGTACCATTAATGGTATACATAGCTAATATGAAATAAGGGTATGATTAAGAAACTAGGGGAGGTATAGCTGGCACAATGGTTAAGAGTACGGTGGCATCACATGCCTTTAATCCTAGCATTCAGGAGGCAGAGGCAGGAGGATTTCTGAGTTTAAGGACAGCCTGGTCTACAGAGTGAGTTCCAGGACAGCCAGGGCTACACAGAGAAACCGTGTCCCCAAAACAAAACAAAACAAAAAGAGTGTTTCCTGCTCTTCCAGAGGACCCAAGCTTCAATTCCCAATACCCAAATTAGACAAGTCACCAACTGGCTGACCAACTGGCTGTAAGTCCAACTCCAGGGCTTCTGACAACCTTCTCTGGCCTCTGTGAGCACCTGCATGTATGTGGCACACATTCACATAGACATATAACATATACACATAAATAAAAATAAGTCATTAAAAAATTAAGATGCTAAATTAAAGCTCTTTCTTTCCATTGTCCCAAATAAAATGTTTTAATCAAAGGTACTTTGAAGACTGAAGGTATATACAAACAGTGTGATCATGTCATAATCAAATTGAAGCATCTGAGTTTGTTGTTAAACATTTTAATGATCAATGCTCAATAGCGCTTCTAACTACTTACAACAAATCAATTCTGTCTTGATAAAATAACATTGTTTATGTGTTCTTCAAAGGTTTAGTTTATGAATACAATGTTAGAATATTTTTTATTTTTATTCTGAATAAATCTCAATAATTGATTCTTTTAAATATTCTTTTTAGAACAGAAGAAAGTTAAAGTTAAAAAAACGAAACCAGAATTTCCTGTATATATGCCTTTAGAAAATACGTATATTCAGTCTTATGATCATGGGACTTCTATTGAAAAAATAGAGAAGCAAATTGACGATTGGCTGGAAACCAGGAGCAGAACACAGAAAAAAACGGTAATTAAGCTTTTTAAAGTTGATTTGGAGAGCTGAATGAACCTCATATCCATAGCCCAGGCAAGCACAGCCATTGAGCTATAGCCCCACCCTACGAATCTTCGATGATTGGTTTGTGTTTTTGTTATTGTAAATCTTGCTCCAACTGTATAGCCCAGGCTAGCCCAAAACCTGTTATCCTTTTGCCTCTATCTAGAACATTCCACATTATTTCTCTATGTGTAAGTAAATGTTTACACTGGTTTTAACTGAATAAGAAACCTGAAGTACACTCAAGTACACTCCTTAAGTGTTTTTCCGACATTTGAGATTGTTCTTTTGATAATTCTCTGTTTAGATCTGTACCCTATTTCTTAATTGGATTATCTGGTAGTTTGATGTCTAGTTTCTTGAGTTCTTTTTATATTTTGAAGATCAGCCCTCTATCAGATGTGGAGCTAGTGAAGATTTTCTGTAGGGAGCCATTTTGTCTTGTTGATTGTGTTTTTTCCTTTACAGAAGCTTCTCATTTTCAGAAGGTCCCTTTTATTAATTGTTGCTCTCAGTATCTGTGCTACTGGTGTTCTATTTAGGAAGTGGTCTTCTGTGCCTATGTATTCAAGTGTATTTCCCACTTTCTCTTCTAGGAGAGGTTCAGTATGGATGGATTTATGTTGAGGTCTTTGATCCATTTGGACTTGAGTTTTGTGCAAATAGATAAGGATCTATTTGCATTCTTCTACATGTTGAGAGCCAGTTATACCAGCACCATTTGTTGAATATGCTTTCTTTTATCCATTTTAGCTTCTTTGTCAAAAATTAGGTGTTCATAAGTGGTGTGTGGGTTGATATCAGGGTCTTCAATTCAGTTCCATTGGTCCATCTGTCTGTTTTTATGCCAATACTAAGCTGTTTTCATTACTGTATCTCTGTAGTAGAGCTTGAAGTCAGGGATGGTGATGCTCTAGATGATCCCTTATTGTACAGGGTTGTTTTGGCTATCCTGGGTTTTTTGTTTTTCCATATGAAGTTGAGTGTTGTTCTTTCCAGGTCTGTGAAGAATTGTGCTGGGATTTTGATGGGGATTGCATTGAATCTGTAGATCACCTTTTGTAGGATTGCCATTTTTACTATGTTGATAGTAAAGAGCGTGGGAGATCTTTTCATTTTCTGATATCTTCTTTAATTTCTTTCTTTAAAGATTTAAAGTTCTTGTCATACAGGTCTTTTATTTGTTTGGTTAAAGTTACCCCAAGATATTGTATGCTATTTGTGGCTATTTTAAAGAGTGACATTTCTCTGATTTCTTTCTCAGGCCATTTATCATCTATATATAGGAAGACTACTGATTTTTTTTGAGTTTATCCTGCTACATTACTGCAGGTGTTAAAACATTATTTTTTGATTATTTTATAATTGCCTGATATTTTGAAAGTTGGTAATTATCTTTGAATCTAGTTTCTAAAATGATTTAGCTAGTGTTTTAATCAATTTTGTGAAATAATTATTCAAGTTGCTGATTAATGAGAATGTTTTACTGTTTGTCAATTGAAAGCCACAACAATATTTTCCACCATAACTACTATACCAGACTTCTTTAAAATTAAGTATTGCCTTTTCTCTTCCTGGTGATCTAGTAGTAATGTTCTGAGTGTTTTATGTCAGAGACTTGGATTTCATTCCTGTTCTCGTTATCTCTCTCCCTGGGGCTGCAATGCATAAAATAAGAAATAAAATCACTATCCTGCATCCTCATTGCCATCGGCTGAACCCTTGTCAAATTTCATAAGCTAAGCTAGATGGGCCTGGTTAATATTGGGTTGGAAGACATCAAAGAAAACGAAGTCCACGAATCACAACATCTATGAAGCTGGCACTTCATCTTTCAAGAAATTCTGTCTTGTAATTGTTATTGTATTTTTCTTTGTACTACTTGATTGATTTGCTAGCTCTAGGAATAGGGGGAAAAAGAGTCTTTAGAAGTAAATGCTTTCTTTAGTCATTTAAATGAATACATTTATTTTATTTTGCTTTCCAAATTTAAAAGCCTCTTTGGTTTAAAAGATACTTGGTTATATTCTTGAGAAGTGTCCCAGTAGCAATGGTTTTTTTCTTGCATAGAAGTACTTGTCCAGAACCTTCTTGTTTACCTCTAATGTGTCTATTTTTTCTGTTTGTTTGATAGTTTCTACCTTGGTTCATAAATGTTGCAAGACATGAAATTACTTTCAGAATACAAATAATGTAACTGTAAAGATCCAAAATTATAATCAGTTTATCTTTCCTTTTAAGTTACCTTAGTACATACTCTGTAATTCTAATGTTTCATTTAAGACAGTTTCAAATATCAACAACTTTAAGTTCATCCATGTGGCTGTGTCCTTCTCAAAGGATGCTTTTCTGAGAATACACACACACACACACACACACACACACACATTCTCTAACATATTCTCTCTTTCTTCTTTTCTTCCCACAGTTTCCAGCTGGCATTTTCTATATTACCTCAAAAAACAAAACTTCTCTCACTGATTCCAAAATACAAGGGGCTAATGTCCTAAACTCCTTACTTCTTGGAAAGTGACACCTGAAAAACTGTCTTCCTTAGTTCTCCTCTCAAGCATACACACAAGTGTAGGCTTTGGAAGAGTCCCCAGCTTCTGTTTTCCAGTGCTGGAAATAAGAGCGCTGTCCTGAGAAGTGCTCAGTGGTGACTGGTGGTGGCTCTCTTACTGTGCTCTTTCCTTACTTACTTCTCCTCAGGATGACTTTAAGTCAGTATTAGACTCTCAGAATCATATCAGTCAGTTGAAGATGGATGGCATAGTCTTTTTGTGAAATAAGAGTGGTCATTTGTTGTATTAAGGAGTATTCCAGAATGGATGTAATTTTAAGACTAGTATCTTATTACTGTGCCATCATATATTACTATATTGTTAGCATTGTTATTAAGTTTTTCTATGTTTCATCATTGATTTTTGTTTTCAGGAAGCAGCCTTTCAAGTATCTTATAGTTACACACTCTAAACCAACTCTCTATATCAAAATTTTGGAATACCCTGGAGAGTTGTATACTGGTAGATTTTTTTCAGAAGCTTCTTTGGAGGGAAGGAACCTTGATTTGTAGCACTGTTCAGCTTCACTGGCTTGCTTTCTCCCAGTTCAGCATGAAGAAGCATTGGGAAGAGCTGCATGGTCACTGCTTGTTTTCCCTCCTACAATACAGTGTGTAAGCATCTTCAAGGGCATATGCCATAATGAACTATGGCAAAATAGGAATATGGCACCCTAATCTGGAAATCTGAAAGGCTCCAAAGTCTGGGATGTTTTGAATGTCATGCTCAGAGTCTCAGGTGAGGGGTTGCTCATCCCTGTGAGATTTCTCTGTAAGAATGAAATGGGAAAAATTAACAAAAGTCTAAAAACTTAATAAAGCCCATATAGGAAAAAGAAAACTTTCAAGCTCCTCTGATCTCCAAAAAGCCAGCCCAACAGACAAGGCTAAACAAAGAACTCGGTACATGACTGGAGGCCTGAGACCAGATAACACACCCAAGCTGTGTCAACATTTCTCTGTCCTAAAGAAAATCAGATAGCTATCAACTTGTGGTTGTAAAAATCCCTGGCCCAGGAGATAATTAACAATACCCTACAATACCCTGCTTAATTGTATCCTGCCTAAACATACAGTTATTGTTTCATCCTATGTAACCATGGAAGCTTTGTAATCTTGAGACTTTCAGTCTTTTGAACTTTCCCTTTAAGAAATCCCCTCAGCTGTAAGTGGTATTCTGCTTGCTCCCGAGGGTGCAGAATCCATGCTGCAGCATGCCAGTAAAAGAAACCTTTGTTCTTGCATTCGGTGAGTCGACTCCTTGATGGTGGACTTACGGGGTCCCTGAACTGGGCATAACATTTGGTGCATTGACCGGCAACCCCAAAACCCCCCAGGACCCCTGAAGGTTTCATCTTCCAACCGGTTGGTGTTTTTAGTGTTTGTTAAGCATGTAAATGCTTGTTAAATGTGCGCTTTTCTAGGTACACTAATATCTAGGTAAATCCAGGCTAACAGTTCGATGGTTCCATTGACGGACACCTTATACGGGCAGACCTGCAGGGAGCATGGGGACGCTCCAACTCCTCATCCAGGGCAGGGGTTCGGCCAGCGGCCAAACTAACCTGTACTCTACGAGGGGACCCAATCGAGTATCAAGTTGTCCTGTATTTAGCTAGCCATCTGAATTGAAGGTTCTTGCAAGAAGAGATTTTGGATAGGTTCCCAGTATTACCATGTTGTACGTTGGTGCTGTGTTTCTGCTGTATCTACTCTTCTTAATAATGAAAATATACTTTTTTAAGACTGAGGTATAATTTTTGGATTGTTATGTCCTAGTCATTTATATTCCTCTGTCACCACAAATAACCTGATGGTTTAGGTTGTGTCCTTTTTTTCTTTATATCCACTGTGGGGTCTATAGGGTGAATTGAATTAAATTATGCAATTAGATTGATCTCACCGATTTGCTTCTTGGTCACTCAATACCCATTGTATGGTCTTACCTTTCACAGAACAGTCTTACTGGCATCCTTTCAGTTCCTAGGAGTGTCTCTTCATATTCTCAACCAGTGAGGCTAGTCACAGGTGACTTATTTTGACATTGAATTAGATTCTAGTGGCTAGAACAAAAGAACCATTTTTTGTTTGTTTGTTTTTATGAATCTTAAGAGACATCCGGAAAGAGCAATGTGGTTAGAATTGAGGAAATAGTAACTTCCTTTCTTTTTTTTTCTTTTTTTTATTAGTTCAAATTAGGAACAAGCTTGTTTCACATGTCAATCCCTTGTCCCTCTCCCTCCCCTCACTCTCACTCCTCCTACCCCACCCTGACCTACCTCCCACCCCATCCACCCTCCACTCCCCAGGCAGAGTAGGGCCCTCAATGGGGGCTCTGCAAAGTCCACCACATCATCCTGGGCTGGGCCTGGGCCCTTCCCCATGTGTCCAGGGCAAGAGTGCATCCCTTCACGTGGGATGGGCTCTCAAAGTCCCTTCTTACACCAGGGAAAAATACTAATCCACTACCAAGTGGCCTCTTAAAGTGCAAAGGCCTCCTCATTGACATCCATGTTCAGGGGTCTGGATCAGTCCTGTACTGGCCTCCCAGACAGCATCTGGGGTCGATATGTTCCCCCTTGTTCAGGCCAGCTGTTTCTGTGGGTTTCTCCAACCTGGTACTGACCCCTTCAATCTTCATTCCTCCCTCTCTGCAACTAGGTTCCAGAGTTCAGTTCAGTGTGTATCTGTGGATGTCTGCCTCTG